GTACCATCATTGTTGTTTCTAGCAAACATAAGTGAATTGCACTGCACGCTGGACTGATAAATGTTAAAAAAAATGCTCCAGCTGATATCAGTGATATTGGAAGCCAGAGATTCAATTCATGACTTGAAATACTGACAGATTTTCCCTTTGTCAAGCCTAAACCTCAGTCCACCTGCAACTAATGGACCCCGCACCATTTGCAAACATCAAAGGCAACACGAGCGGCAAGGATCCCAGATACAGATGAGTGAGGCCAGCTAGGGATCAGGAGAAGGGCAGTGGGGTTGGCAACAAGATCAAGGAGATGCTTTTCAGAGACCTACTCTGTCATAACCCTCCCATTCCTGATGTTGGATCCCTTAAATGGGCACTGAGTGCTTGATAATTAAGGACTTTCTTCTGGGTTGAACCACAAACAATAAATCCAGAAACCAATAAAACTTGTGACTAACATGTCTTGGGTCAAACTCGTCTTGTTTCCTTCAAAAAGCAGTAGAGGCTGAGGGTGACTTTCCAGAAGTTTATAAAATCATGAGGGGCATGGAAACAGTGAAGAGCCAAGGTCTTTTCCCCAGGGTAGGGAAGTCCAAAACTAGAGGGCACAGGTTTAAGGTGAGAAAGGAAAGATTTAAAAGGGACCTAAGGGGCAACTTTTTCATGCAGAGGGTGGTGCATGTATGGAATGAACTGCCAAAGGAGGTGGTAGGGGCTGGTACAATTGCAATATTTAAAAGGCTTCTGGATGAGTATATGAATAGGAAGAGTTTAGAGGGATATGGGCCAAATGCTGGCAAATGGGACTAAATTAATTTAAGATACTTGGTCAGCATGGACAAGTTTCCTTGCTATACATCTCAATGACTCTCTGGAGCTGTAACTGTACCACTACCTTCATTTCTAAGTATCATTTATTACTTTTTACTGACTTTTCCCTCTGGGATGGCAGAATTCTATTTATGAATATAACAAAAACATTAATCCTTACGATATGCAAATGAATTGAAATATGAATATGCTTCTTAAGCCAGCATTGGTCTAATATACTTCCCTGCCCTTAATTTACATGTAGTATTGCAAAGACCGTGGTTGAGCAAGTTCCTGCTTCATAATTCACTTACTCATTCCTAACTAATTAAAAACCTATTCGTAACAATAACACAGTTGCCTATATTTCACACAAAGGTGAGGGTCCTGCCCACTGCCTGGAAAGTTGTGGAGGAGTTCACCAACTCAATTAGTTGCCTGAGGTTTTGGCTTCTGCCCCTTCTGCCAGGCAGTGGCCAGGAGTAACTTTTGGGAGTGCAGCCACTCCTGGGATTGCAGCAATCCATGGAGAACAACCCGAGAACAGGTGCATATCTCCGAAACCTCCAGCTGGTAATCATTGTGGTTCAATAATGGACCATGATGCAAACTCAAGGCCCAGATTCAGACTACAATATACAAGAACCAAACCACACGTAGTTTATATATGAATAATTTTGTTCGGTCAAATGCTATTAAAGTCAATGATGCAGTAATTACACCAATAAATTTGAAGTCCAGTGTCACAATTTACGATTTTGTGACGATGTTTTTCCACAAAGAGTCTTTGGCACAATTTTAACATATGATTTAGACAGAAACCTGCCTGCAGGGGATATTTCAGCCAGAGATTACATGTTGGTTTAGCATTTGGCAATTAAGAGATCATTCAAATCTGGAATATGGCAGTTCTCTTACACAGATGCAAAAGACTGATCCATTTTCTGAGCTTCAGAGATAGTAGGAACTGCAGATGCTGGAGAATCTGAGATAACAAGGTGTAGAGCTGGATGAACACAGATGAACTTCTTCAGGAAAATGGGTCTAGGGAAAAATGGGTTCTAAAGAAGGGTCTCGGCCCGAAACGTCAGCCTTCCTGCTCCTCTGATGCTGCTCGGCCTGCTGTGTTCATCCAGCTCTACACCTTGTTATCTCACTTTTCTGAGCTTGTCTGGCCACATACTGAGCTTGTCTGTCCTCATACATCGGTCTTGCTATCCCAGGAATTAATTTGGTAAACCTTCGCTCCAAATCCTCTATGGCAAGAATATTCTTCCTCGGATAAGGAGATCGAAACTGCACACAGTATTCCAGATGTGGTCTCACCAATGCCCTATATAATAGCAGCAAGACAATTGTTCCTGTACTCAAATCCTGACACTGTGAAGGCCAACATACAATTTACCTTCTTTACTGTCTGCTGCAATACCTTCAGTACTTTCAGTGCCTGGTGCACAAGGACACCCAGGTGGACATTCCCCTCTCAGTTTACAGCCTTTCAAATAATAACCTGCCTTCCTATTTTTGCTACAAGAGTGGATAACCTCACACATATCCACATTATGCTGCATCTGCCATGTGTTTACCCACCTACCCATCCCGTCCAATCATGCTGCAACATCTCTGCATCCCCCTCGCTGCTCACCCTTCCAACCAGCTTTGTGCCACCTGCAAATTTTGAGATATTACATTTAGTTCCCACATTTAAATCATTGACATATATTATGAATAGCTGGAGACCAAATACCATTCCCTGCCCTACTCCACTAGTCACTGCCTCCCATTCAGAAAAAGACTCAGTTATTCATACTCTTTGTTCCCTGTCAGCTAACCAATTTTCTATTCGTCTCAATACACTACCCCAATGCCATGTGATTTAACTTTACACATTGGTCTCTTGTGTGGGACTTTGTCAAAAGCCTTCAGAAAGTCCAAATAAACCATATCCATTGGCTCCCCCAATCAACTCTACTAGTTTCATCCTTCAGTAATTCCAGTCAATCTGTCAAGCATGACGTCCCTTTGGTAAATCCATGATGTCTGTATCTGATTCTACCACTGTTTTCTAAGCGCTCTGCAATATAATCCTTGATAATGGACTCTAGCATCTTCCTCACTACCAACTTCAGACTTGCTGATCTATGATTCCCTGTTTTTTCCCTACCTCCTTTTTTCAATAGTGGCCTTCCATTAGCTACCTTGTATTCTCAAACTTGGAAGATGATCACCAAACGCATCCACTATTTCTAGGGCTACTTCCTTAAGTACTCTGAATTATCAGGTCCTGAGGATTTATCAGCCATCAGTCCCATTAATTTCTCCAACACTGTGTCTCTATTAACACTGATTTGCATCAGCTCCTCCCTCTCTCTAAAACCTGTGTTCTCTATCATTTCTGGTATTTTATTTGTGTCCTCCTTTGTGAAATGGAAGCAAAGTATGAATTTAGTTTGTCAGCCATTTCTTTATTCCCCATTATAAATTCACCTATTTCTGACTGAAAGGGACCTATATTAGTTTTCATCAGTCTTTTTCTCTTTTCATATCTGTAGAAACTTATGCAGTCAATTCTTATGTTCCCTACACGCTTATTCTTATATACTATTTTCCCCTTCTTAATCAATCCCTTAAACCTTCTTTACTAACTTATGTTCACAATCCTTCAGCCTGTTGTTTTCTTTTGCCAGGTTTTTGCCTCCTTTCTGAATCTAATACTATCTCTGACTTCTCTCGTAAGCCATGATTTGGCCATTGTTCTCTTTGCATTCTTGTGCTACATGGGAATAAACCATTTTTGTAGTTTGTCCATTCGATCTTTGAACGTTTGCTATTGCCTGTCCACTGTCAATCCTCTCAGTAACACTTCCCAATCCATCATACCCAACTCATACCTCATGCCATTATAGTTTCTATTCTTAAATTCTGGGGTTTAGTCTCAGAGTCAATTACCTCAGTCTCTATCTTGATGGAGAATTCTGTCATATTATGGTCACTCATTCCCAAGGAATCCCTCACAACTACATTACCAATTATTCTTTTCTCATTGAATAATACCCATTCTAACATGGCCTGTTCTGTCATTGGTTCCTCAATATATTGGTCCAGGAAGCCATCCTGTACACACACTAGGAATCCCTCCTCTCTGGTATTGTGATAAATTTGATTCACCCAATCTAATTGCAGATTAAAGTTACCCTGATTACAAATGTTCTTTTACACATGCACCTCTGATTTCCTGTTTAATGCCAATCCCAACATCACCACTTTGGTCATCTAATACCACCCCCACTCATGTTTTTTGCCCCTTGGTATTTATCAATTCTGCCCACACAGATTCCACATTGTCTGAGCTAATATCCTTCCACCATATTGTGTTTACATCCCTTTAACCAGTCATGCAACTTCATCGCCTTTTTTTTGTCTGTCTGATCCTCTGTCATGACGCTTAGTTTCAAGTTCTGAAAGGCAAAAGTCAACAGCTAATGTGAGCTTGCAGTTCAAAGGTCATCCAGGGCATCCCCACATCAGCTGAGGAAGGCTCAACTACCAATTTCTTGTGAACCATACCAGCCCTGAGTTGTATTGCTGTGCCTCTGATCATCAGTAAATGCAACTTTCCAAAGAAAACTTGCAGTATCTCTGATCTTGGAATCATGTTCAACAATGCCTATTGCTTGTGGCTGGACTTATGTATGCAGCATACAGAAATGTGGTTTTGTTTGCTTTATGCCTGCAGGTATCAGAAAACATGGCCAATTATGTGTAGAATGTCTGTGGTATTTATTGGACCTGTCTCATATAAAGAGCCCGATGTAGCTTTGTGGTTAGGCCATGTGGCTTTTTTTTTCCACCACTGCAAATGCATTCTATAGAAGTATAACTCAAAATGTTTCATTTCCTTGTTGGTTTTAAGAAGCATTTACATGAGAGAAGCATAGCCTGTTAAATGTAGAATACCATTGTTTCTTAAATTAGAAGAATCTTGGTTTATATTTCTAGAATATTCCTGAATGATGGTGGTCTCTATCAATTAGCAAACTATGTGACTACTTCTATTCAGCAACAGAAGAAATGCATATCTGAGTTGGGGTAAAACTCCAACACAGACAACAGGTTCGTGAAATCCAGTGCAACATAAACTGTAAGATCCTCAGTTTATGTTTTTCACTCATGGTTTTCTTTTACTTTGATTCTAGACATTCCAGCAATCCCTGGGGCAGAAATCCAAAAAAAGAAACAAAGGTACATCGCTTTGATTTTTATGAATTTCCTTCTGTCTGTTGATTTCTATTAGAAGTGAGATTTAAGATAGATGTTCTATGGAATGGCTTTAAGCAGTGTTGAAATCTATTTGATTCGGATTATAGTTCATATAAATTGTGATTTTAATCCTATTGTACTAAACTTTGAAGTTTAACAAAATGTAACTTCATATTCTGTGGTAAGCCTCTTGAAACCTATCCTGGCCATACTGAAGTTTTCCATTGTGTGACAGCCTAGAAATTGTGGTTGTTTCAATGGTTTCTGTTCATTTAACGCTTCTGTTTTTTTTAACACTGTCTGTCTACTATCAAAATTGGAATGCAATAGATAAAAGTGCAGAGAGCTGTGTAAAAGGAAACTCTGTTAATGTTATTTTTATTTAACAGTCTAACCTGAATGAATGCATGCGCTGGTGAAAGGGTTTGCATCTACAATATGAAATAAAAATTGCTGGCATTTTCATGTGCTGCAGAAGTTGCTTGTTAAAATTTTCAAATTATGTGCAGACAGATATGGGCCGGGATTTTTAAATGGGTCTGGAAGAGTCCGGAGGGCAGATCGGGGTCAGACTGGCCGCCCACAAGGTAGGGGCTGACAGATGATTAAGGATAATTGTTGGTAATTGTGAGGCCTGTGAAGGCCCCCTTCCCATACTAAGTGGAATCTCCAGTTGGCAATGTGCGCAGTCCAGGCGAACACGGTGGGCTCAGGGCAGGGAGGCACAATGAATTCTCAGTGGGACCACTCAACCTGCACTCAAAATGGCAATGGTAGCAGCTGCTGGCCTTGCCCCTTGGAGGGATTGGCCCCTCCAAGATCAGGACCAAGCAGCCACAGCCTTTCAAAAACTACAGACAAACGTCGTTGGCATTGTCCCCGCTCCCCCCACCCAGTTTACATCCAGCCAGTGAGGATTTCTGATGTCTCAGGCCTGGAAAGTGTCCCAGTGACACTCCGGTGATCAGGAGCCTGTTCCCTGCCATTAATTGGTCTGGCCTTTTAAAAACCCGGCGAGCATGTTTGGAATACGCCAAGCACGATTCGGACCTGGAACAGAGATCATGGTCATGTTCCTGCCCCAGATTTGATACTCCCAGCCACCAAGCTGAACTTTACCCTGGGGAATTGGGAAAGGTTAGGGCAGGGGAGCCAGGGTGTTTCCCATTTGGCTGGCCTCCCTCACAGCCAACGCTGTTTATTGAGGTGAGACCACCGCCCTATCAAGGAGAATATCAAGCGTTGCCAGTCAGTCAAGTGGCCAGCAGCCATCTGGTCCCAGCAGCGCCCCCAGGAGCCAGTGGTCACAGTCGGTGCTGCAGTCAGCATCAAAAGCAAAGCAAGCTGTGGTGGAGCAGGATTTCAATGTAAGGTGTCCATCAGGCTGGCAAACCAGGGCAAAGGGTTGGCAAGGCATGTTGGACAGGATGGGTAAGGGAGGGGCAAACACAGTGGTGGAAATACCTTCCCTCCGGGATTGGCAAAAGGAGCGCATGAAGGAGGTCCAGCCACCAGCCTGCCAAGTTTTACTGGGTGGTGTGGTATCTAAGCATGGATCATTCCTGCCTTAATTAAAATGCGAGCAGCAAGGGGGGAGGAAACTTTAAGCAGCCATTAATTAGGTGGGTAGACTGTCCGACACCACCCTAGCCCCTGGTAAAATTGCATTGTGAGCAGGTGGCAGTGCACCAAGAATGGTGTTTCTGGCATGGTGCCCAATCTTATCACATCCCGCACACACACACACCGCCCCCCTCCCCCCACCAGCCCAAGCGACAGTTCCTCCCCAGCTTTCATCCAGCTGTGAGGAGCTGCTCTTACCTGAGTCGATTCTGGGAGAATCACCTGCATTGACCTCTTTTCCCTTCCCATTAAGGTAGCTCTGGTGTTTCCCAAGGATCTATCCTCAGCCCCCTTCCAATTGACCTCAGTTTCTACATGTACGATGACACAAAGCTCCATGACACCACCACCACCTCTTCTGACCCCTATACTCTCGCTAAATGGTCAGTCTGCCTGCCTGGTATTGAATGCTGGATGAGCAGACATTACCTCCAACTAAATATCAGGAAAACAAAGCCATTGTCTTTGGCCCGAGGCACAAAATCTGTTCCCTGACTACCATTTCCATCCCTCTCCCCGACAACTCGCTGAAAACAGAGCCAGCCTTGTTGTTTGTGTTTCACTCTCAACTGAGTTTCTAACCATGTGCACACTCCATCACCAAAACTAACTCCAAAACCTGGCCCGACTTAGCTGATGTGATACTGAAATCTTCATTCAAGCTATTGTTACCTGTAGAACTGAATCCTCCTATGCTCTACATTGGCACCGTGGCCCACCTGGCATTGTCCAGCATTTTATGACCATGGAGTTGGATTGAGGCCCTTAAATGCCAATTACCTAGACAGTTAAGGATCACAATACTTATAAGGGTGGTCAGGAAAAGGGTGATCTAGGCACCTGACATAATTTACGTCCCTCTCTGCCAGAAATACAAGCGGTGAGGGGCTATAAAATCCAGGCTGAAATTGCCATTCCTTTACTGTCACCGGGTCAAAATCCTGGAGCTCACTTCCTAATAGCATTGTTGGAGTCACTAAGCCTCAAGGACTGCAGAACTTCAGAAAGCAGCACCTCACCACCTTCTCAAGGTCACTTAGGGTCAGGCAAGAAATTCTGACCTAATTCAGGATGCTCACATCCCATGAAATACTTCAATGTTTTTTAAATTGCAATTACGTATTATTTTACAGTTGAAACTAATTCTGCTGGTTGTTTGTGAATGAGATGCTTACCTTATAATATCCTGAAAGTGAGTATGTGTGTGCATTGGTGAGTGAAGTAAAAGCCTATTGTGAATTTGTGCTTTATTCTCAATATCCAAACACTGATGTTAGTTTACTTATTTGATAAAAAGCATCATTATTAGTTAGGCGGAAGTGTACTTTCACATAAAGTTCATACAACTGCTCTGCCTTCCCTGACCCCCTTCCCAAATGGGAAAGAATCTTGAATATCAGTCACATTCAAGGAAAAGAAGGAGTGAACTTGCATTTTTGTAGACTCAGCAAAGTCCAAAGCGATCTGTAGTCAATGATGTGCTTCTGACGTCAAGTCACGCTTTAATGTAGGATACACAGAGTTAAGTTACACCAAGCATGGCTTCACAGCCAGTTCCCTTTAAACTCATGTAGCAATCTGAATGTTTCCACACACGTCCCACGCAAGTTCATTCTTTCAAGTTTTAACAGCACAAAAAATTAAAACGCCCACCACTTAGATAAATTGCCCTTTGCACTATTAAAAAAAAATGCAAACAGACAATATAACCTATTTTTGTTCAGTTTTAAGATAAATGTTGGCCACAGCACCATGAGAACATCCCTCAACTTCTTGAAAAAGTGCCAGAAGAGAATGTGTCTCCTCCTGAGAATGAAGATTAAGTCTTGGTTTCATCTCTTATCTGAAAGGTGGCACCAGTGGCTGGTTTCAGCCTAGCTTATATCTCTGATCTCTGGACTAGTACTTGAACTCTCAGGCAACTGACTCAGTAGGGAATGCTATCATTGAGCCAAGGCTAATATGCAATCCCTTACAGAGGGGAATTATTACATTTGTGATGCAGTAAATCTAGAACAAACAGAACACACTGGAGATAACATTAATTTTAGTAGACTTGCATCAGCTGGGAATTTGAGTGTTTTACCTTCTGCTGTTTGTGCTCATTTCAGGTGCCGTTACAGCAATGAGCAGGAGAAGAATTTCTTGTAAGGACCTTGGTCGTGGAGACTGTGAAGGCTGGTTATGGAAGAAAAAGGATGCCAAGAGCTACTTCTCACAAAAATGGAAAAAGTATTGGGTTGTATTGAAGGATGTCTCTCTGTACTGGTACATGAATGAAGAAGTAAGATCTAATTTGCACCTGCATACTGTGAATATATATGTGTCACATTTATGAGATCGGGTCTCATTAAACAGGAGTAAATGAAGTCTGTTTTTAATGGGAAAAAAAAGCTTGCTTTTATACATCATGACCTCAGCCCCAAAATGTTTTATGAATAAAATACGTTGAGAATTGTACAAAAGGCTGAGCTCTTTAAAATTCTATGTAATGTAATCCATTAAAGGAGTCAGTTATTTATGGATGGATTTTGCATCAAGGGAAAATATTAGTCCATATGTATAGCTACATTACAACAACTGCAGAGAATTCTTAAAAAGAGAGATGAAGTTAATGTGTAATTGGTTTGAGGTCTTCTGCAGTTTTTCTTCAAATGCTCTCTTTTTCGAAATTGCCAGGCAGCAAAAGAGTTTGGTGAACTGAATGAGTGTGTCACAGCTTGGTATGAGTTTACGACGTAGATAAGTTCATGACTGAATCAGCAGGAGAGGAGGTGCGTAGGAGTACAAAACCTTTGCTAAAGGGAGGAGTGGAAGAAAGTGAAAATAGAGCTTGAACCTTTCCAATGCATTATGTAATCTACTGTGTGGTCAGGTCGTAGAATAATTTTGACAAGCACTTTGAGGTGATCACTCTAACACAGTCAGGTACATGTATCTTACAGGGAATGAACAGAGAGAAAGAAATGCATGAGCAAGAAGAAAACCTGTGAAATGAAGACCAGCAGTGAATAGCATTCTTTGAAAGTAATCATCTGGAAGGAACTATATGGATTATATTTATTTTGTAATGAAACTTGTGCTTGCAAAAAGAACTTGCATTTGCTTGCTTTAGATAGTTCAGGAGAATTTGTAATAGTCTCTAATACAAATTTTATAAACGTGAAAGTAGTGATGGATTGATATTTTATAATTTCCAGTGCACCTCCCACACAACCTATTTTGCTAATGTTACTGGGATTGGTTGCTACAGCGAAGCCATATACCAAATGGTAGAGAGAGTTTTTGTGTGTTTTTAAGTAATCTACCACATCCTGGGAATTTTTTCATTATCTTCATTTCAAGGAAACTTAAATTGAAACTTAAGTTGTTGCACTTTGAATCCTTAAGGGTGCATAAATATTAAAGCAACCTAATTAATAATATGAAAACTATGCTACAGCCTGAATTTTCACCCTCAAGATGGGAATTGTGAGTCTGTCATTTCCTGATGTCACAGTAGCAGTGTCCACCTGCAATGTTTTAACAGGATGGCCTAGAGTCACTATATCCTGAGGCAGGCCGAAGGTGGGAATAGGTTAGGAAGATATTGAAGCAGGCAGTTTAGACTCAGACACTGGTGCATGTCTGTACATGAACGTTAACCATCCTATCCCTCACCCTAATCCGCCCCGCTGTATCGCCCCTCCTTAAACTTTACGCCCCCTCATAAATCCCTAGACCACTATTGCCCCTTGAGATCCACATGCCCACTCCATTGCCCCTCTCCATATCAGCCATGCATCCTCTATACTCCTATGCTGTCTCCATACCTTTGCCACACTCACTGATCCGGTATGAACTGTGAACAGAACTCACAAGGGCAACACTCATTATTTTTTTGACCTCATTTCTCTCATTGTAGCAAAACATGACTAAATTTGGTGTCGTTGTCATTCATGACAGATTGAGTTGGGATAAGATGTTGCAAAAGCTGGAACTTAATTCGAAAAACTCTAAATGCTAGAAATTGGAGTCAGGATGTGTTGGATATATGCAACAGGCTATCAGACATTGACATTAAGATTAGCATTTTTTTTTGCCATTTGACTAAAAGGAAGTCAATTTTACTCATGATCAGTTCTTCTGCTAAAATTAGGAAGCTGATAAAATAATTTCCCAGGACCATTTATATAAATGACTTGAATGGAGGGACTGAAGGCATGGTTCGTAAAAATACTGAAGACACAAAGATGGGTTGGAATGTAAGTTGTGAAGAGGGCATAAGGAGACTACAAAAGGTTGCAGATAGGTTACGTGAGGGGGCACGAAGATCTGGCAAATGAAGTATTCTGTGCAAGTAATTTAAATTGTCCGTCTTGGTAGAAAGAACAAAAAGGAGGCACGTTATCTAATAATGAGTAATTGCTAAGATCTACGATGCAACGGGATCTTGGTATTCTCATGTGTGAATTGCAAAGGGTTAGCCTACAGATATAGCAAACAATTAAGAAACTAATAGAATGGTGTCATTTGTTGCGAGATGAGTTGAAGACGTAAGAATGCATCATACGTAAGGGAGGATTATGCTTCAATTATCCAAGGCATTGGTAAAACCACATCTGGAGTTCTGGTTTACAATATTGGTCTTCTTGCTTAAGGAAGGATATAAATGTAGGCAGTTCAGAGAATGTTTTCTAAACTAATACCTGGAATGGGGGTGTGGGAGGCATGTCTTGTGAAGCTCGGCTTATATCTGCTGGAATTTAGACAAGTAAGGGGCTACTTGATTGATACGATCCTGAGGGGTCTTGACAGGTTGAATGCAGAAAGAGTACTTCCTCTTGTGGGAGAATCTAGAATTACAGGTTGCCTATTTATGACAGAGATGAGACAACAAGGTGCAGGGCTGGATGAACACAGCAGGCCAAGCAGCATCATAGGAGCAGAGAGGCTGACGTTATTTCAGAACCCCCTTCCCCTCTCCCTTTTCTGATGAAGGGTCTAGGCCCGAAACATCGGCCTCTCTGCTCCTATGATGCTGCTTGGCCTGCTGTGTTCATCCAGCCCTGCACCTTGTTGTCTCGGATTCTCCAGCATCTGCAGTTCCTACTATCTGTGACAGAGATGAGGACTTTTTTCTCTCTCACACATAGAGGCTCGTGAAATCCCTCCCATAAAAGTTGGTTGATGCACGGTCTTGGAATATTTTTAAGGCATTGGTTGATAGATTCTTACTGAGAAAGGAGATAAAAGGTTATCAGTGGCAGGCGGAAATATGGAGTAATCGGATCAGCCATATCCTGCTAAATGGCAAGGCAGCTCGAGGGGCTGAGTGGCTAAACGCTGTAATGTATTATTCATTGCTGTTGAGAGTGCTTTGAACTTCAAGTTGGAGTTTTTCCCTGAGATTCATTCCACATATTCAAACGTTGTGCATTGCTTTGGACTCGAATGAAAAGCAGCATTGTTTAAAAAAAGCTTTCCAAAACAAGATGCTGAATAAATTAAACATTTGAACAATTCATTCAAAAATGAAAAGTTGCACAACAAAGAAATGCTTAGGAGTTTTTTGTTTTGGTTTTCTTCTCAGGATGAGAAGGCTGAAGGATTTATCTGCCTTTCTGAGTTCAAAATTGATCGAGCAAGTGAATGTCGGAAAAAGTAGTAAGTATTACAGTAGCAATGATCAGATGATATCACTCATCCTTGACTTTATAGAGAGGAAATTAATTCAATATGATTTCCTTAGCTCAAGAAATTAATATTTGTTGTGTCTGTTGGTGTTCATCTTACATTACAAGATTAATAACTGCATACATCCTTTGAGTTCCTCAAATGATTAATTAATGAATATTTCTGCTTAAAAAATAAACTAAGACTTTCTCTTGTTAAGACTTCCCTCCAGGTTGCTGCCTTTGCTCCCGCTCTCCATCATTGTCTCCCCTGTCTCTCCATGATCCACTTTTCCTATAATGGGGTCAGAAATTTTCAGCACATGTCATTATTTCTATTTTTCACTATTACAGAATCATAGTCACACAGCACAGAAACAGACTCTTTGATCCAAAGAGTCAGTGCCAAACATAATCCCAAACTAAACTAGTCCCACCTGCCTGCTCCTGGCCCATATCCCTTCAAACCTTTCCTATTCATGAATATATCTGATTGTCTTTTAAATGTTGTAACTGTGCCCACATCCACCACTTCCTCAGGAAGTTCATTCCACATGCAAACCATCCACTGTGTAAAAAAAATTGCCCTTCATATCCTTTTTAAATCTTTCTCCTCTCAACTTAAAAATATGTCCCCTAGTCTTGAAATCCCGATTACATACAAGCCACATGTGCAAACGAGCAAAGAAATCTAAGATTATCTTAAATGAACTTGCAGACCCAAACATAATTGAAAAATATTTCCCTTATGTAATTGTGCTTATATGTAATTCCCATAGCCGCAAGAAAAATTGCATTCAGCCCTGTTTTCTGATAATAATTATAAGCAGGTGCAAAAATACTTGGGTTTTCTAAAACACTGAACCACCAAATCCTGAAAGTGAGAGTTTGTGAATGCTAATCACAGTTAATTAGTCTCTGTTCTTCGACCAGCTATCAGATTAGTGCTGTCAGGAATATCTGATGCAAAGCCAATTTGGTCTATATTTGATGGATACAAATAAACACTGATTTTCACAGCAAATATGATCACACGCCAAAATTGTGTGCTGCGCACAAACACAGTCCATTTTAATAAGTCATAAATATGTAATGCCAGATTTAAACCATCCAAAATACAAAATAATAATTGTGAAAATAAGTGTGATATTTCAAAGTATGCTGTTGTGCTGCAGCCTTCTTTTAAGGCAATATAAGGCCAGATCCTCCCATATTAGGAACAGTGACGAACTGTACTTAAACTGCTGCTGCACATCAGGATCTCTAGGTAGTCCTGACATGTGTATACACACTATAATTTTCCAAGCAGTTTAAACGTCCTAAAAGCAGACATACCTTTTCTGTGCTCCTGTAAAAATGTCTCACACTTGTCTCAATGTTGGAGACTCTGATGAAATAGGCACAATTTACCCAAGTACTGAACTCTCGAATTGTTACGTTCTGGTGTGACTCAGTGATAAACAGCACAACACAAGCCCCCATCCCACACCCACACCCACCAATCATTCCTGACTCCCCCAGTCACCTCCCAACTGACTGGACAACCCCACCTGAATACTCACATCCCCAACCTAACTGCCCACCCATCCTATTCAATTACCCATTCCCCTGACTTGATTTGGTTCCATTCTCTCTACCTGACTAATCCCATTCCCTCTGACCCAAATAATCACACCCCTACCCAACCAAAGTACCCCCCCACGCCTCCAACCCACTCATTACCCACTCCCATCCAACCACCCGCTAACTCATTCATTACTCCCACACCATGCACTCACTCACTCACCCACACATTCTCTTACTAACCCCACTGAAATACTTGTGAGCTCTTAGAAGCTTACCTGAGTAAGCTGGTTGGTGTCATAAACAAGAGACATGTTCTCTGCCCTGCTTCTCTTCACCACATGGATTGCTGAAGTACCATTATTTCAAATGGAATCAGAAATCCTGGCTGGATGTAGTATGCAAAATGGTGATTGTCACATGCAGCATTAGCAACATGCACATAATCACAGTTCATCAGCATATCTGGGGCATAATATGTAGTCAGTAATGCAGTGAAATTAGATTTTAATATCATTTGAAGTAAAAGACCAGAATAAATTGAAGTGATTCTCTTTAATATACTCAGGCTTTAGCTAATGTTTGCATTTTGTTGAACACTGTCGGAAAACTAGATCAAATTAGTTTGTCAGCTTTGCTCAGATTTATGTTTTTGAGCTAGGAGGTCACGGGGCCAGTACTTAATCATATAAGCTGCTTATTTTATAGAGTGCTAGTGGCTCCCAACGTGCAGTTTTCACAGGACCAGATGAACTGTGCAGGAAAATGTGCCAGACTTATTGTGTTGGGCTGGCTGCCTGAGAGATCTGATTTAAAAAGAACAAGGCCCTGCTACAGGAAGCTGGCAGCACTTGTTGTGTGGACACCCATCCCAAAATAAAACAACGCTAATGGTGGTTGACTGTTCAGTAGCATCGCAAAAGAATGCTGCAGTTCAAAGAAGGGTCTAGGCCCGAAACGTCAGCCTTCCTGCTCCTCTGATGCTGCTTGGCCTGCTGTGTTCATCCAGCTCTACACCTTGTTATCTCAGATTCTCCAGCACCTGCAGTTCCCACAGTCTCTGCAATTCAAAGGTGCTGTGTTTCAACTGAGACATTAAATGAAGGCCCTGTCATATGTTGTCGTTCAGTTGCATAGCAATAATTCCACAGCAGACTTGAAGACAAGCAGGAAATTCTCCAATATATTGGCATTTCTCCTTAATCCACCACCACCAAAAACAGATTGATTGGTCATATGTTATTGCAGTTTTGGGTTCGTGATGTGCACCCATTTTGAGTGGGTGAAATGACTAGGCATTGCATTTCAAAGCAGTGTTATGAAGCACATAGAGACATTTTTGAGAGATGTGATGAAATTTATGTGTATTGTGCATTGATAATTTTCCATGACTTGATGCAGAAGCATGCCAACTATCCAGGGCAGCTTTTGAAACACCCACAGAATGTAAGCTAAAATGAAATGGAGTGTGTTTCCACTGTTTGGAAACAAAAGACACAAATTATAAAATCAGTATTTTAAATTTTGTTTCTACCATCTGATCTTCTTAATGTTTAATTGATTCTTAACACACTCAAACATGTTCTATTTATGTATAATGCAATAATGGCAATATAACAATTTTTAAAATGGTTTGTACAAGTGAGCATAAGAACTGGAACATAGAACATAGAACATGAGTATACCATTTAGCCATTCTAGTCTCATCTACCACTTAATAAGACCAAGTCTAATCATCAGTCTAACTGTATATATTCTGCCTTTGCCAATATCCTTTAAAACATTTTGTTAATAAAAATCTATTCGTCTCATATTTTAAATTCACAATGCTTTTTAGGTGCAAAGCAGATGATCCCAAACCTACTTACATCCTAATGCATTTGCCTCGGATTTTGGCCTTTTGCTACATCCATCAATATTTATGCTTTCATTCACAATGTTTACAGTGCTGCCTATCTTTGCCTCAATTGCAAACCTAAAGTGACTCTCTGTCCCATCACCTAGGTCATTAAACACAATAAATAGCTAAGATAGAGCACAGACATTTCAGGTGTGTCACTGTTGCCGTTTAGATTACCTATTTATTGTCTCTAATCTTTGTTCCTGCTCCATAAATAATCTCTTCACTAGGTCAGTAAGTTTCCTTCAAAACTATGAGTTTCTTCTTTATCTATTTGTCTCTTGTTAGGAAGTTTATCAAATGCCTACAGAAAATCCATATAAACAATGTACATTACACTACTTTAGTCATGGCAAATTGGCTGCTGCATTTCCTACATTGCAACAGTGCTTCTTTGACTGTAAAGCACTTTGAGAAGTCTGATAGTTGTGTAAAGTGCCATATAAATGCTTGTCTTTCTTCCTTTCTTTTATCAGCAAGGCTACACCTCTTCATCTAGCAGATTTCCTTTGTTCCTGTAAATCTGAAAACCTATGGATCAGTTTTAATACATAGGCTAAACAGAGTCAGGAGGCTATCAGGACTGTCCCATTCCTGCCCACATTCCATTATGTTCAATAAATAATAATGGGGAATATGGAGTAATTCTACCCCCACCCCTTTTAACCCTTGAGCACAAAGAGAAATACTTGAGAAGTCATTGAATATCGACTTTTAATGAAACGTTTCAAACTGAAAGTTTTGAAATATTTTCATGTAGAGATAATTATGCGAGTTTGTGATTTTTATTGTGTGCATCTCTCTCTTTAACAGTGCATTCAAAGCATGCCATCCTAAGATTAAAAGCTTCTACTTTGCAGCAGATAATATGGATGATATGAACAGGTATGTGTGAAATACATAAAATAATTCAAAGTCGGTGCAAAGATTAATTGGGGTAATTACAAAAACTTGTGTTTACAGAACTAATCATTATTTTGTCAGCAAATTCCCATTAGTCACTTTAATCTTCTACAATGCAGAATTTTAAATAAAGAGTCCCTACAGTGTGGAAGCTGGCCAATTCGGCCCATTGAGTCCACACCTACACTCCAAAAAGCATCCCACTCCCCTGCGCTATTCCTGTAACCTTGCATTTCCCATATACAAATCACCTAACATTTTTACTGTGGAAGGAAACCACAGTATCTGGAGAATGCCCACACAGACATAGGGAGAATGTACAAACTCCATACAGACAGTCACCCAAGGCAGGAATCGAACCTGGGTCCCTGGTGCTGTGAAGTAGCAGTGCTGACCACTGAGCCACTGTGCTGACCAGAAATGATACAAAACTTGACCATCACCCATTTGCAGTAATCTGATTACATAAAGTTCAGTTTCACAATTGCATAGAGCCTCAATCATTGGCGGCAGAATATCCTCACATTAACCCTAAGCTTTTATGCTGTTTTATTGCAATTTCATTGACCAAAAGTACAGATCAGAGTTTTCAGAAACTACCATCACCAAAGTATTTGCTTACACTTATTGCTGAGAGGAGAGACATTTTGCCAAAACATTTTGTTTAGCATGTATCAGGACAAATACACGAACGCCAATGTTTAGGCAATCGCAACCATTTATAAGAGAAAGGGGTACTGATTCGTCAACAAATCAACTCTGATCAGCTGAGGTATTGCCTTTGTTACAACCGGAACCTAATGAGTTTCCCCAGTTTGATATGGTTTCTAACCAACTATCCCAAAGTATTGAGCTGCCTGGTGAGGAGGGATGAACTGGGTCGCCTTCTTTATTCACTCATCTCAACCCCCGCACCCCCCGCAACCAACGCCAGTCAATTGCAATAAGGTTAATTTATGAAGGATCCTTTCCCTTTTGCATACCTTCTCCCACATCTAAATGAAATAATGTATTAAAACGAGGCAATATGATCAGGCTCTCTTGAATTAACTTAAAGAATGAGTTTATCAGTTACTTGGTTCTTGTTAATACTTGAATTTGCCCCAGTGGATTACTACATGCAACAAGAGATTCTAATACATCTAGGCACAGATTAGAAACAGGAGGTGAGTTTGAAAACATAAAACTTTAACAACGATTATATAAATTAGTTTCTGAATTATTCACGAAGAGCAGATAACTGAACACTGCGCATTGCAGTGGAGATTACCACTATCATTGATATTGGTACAATGCTTCACAATCCTTAGGTTTGTGGATTTGTTTGAAATTCTGTCATTCTCATGCCTTTCAATTGTGCTCGTATTCCTGTTTTTAGGGTGAGGGAGAGCCTGTTGTTGTCCTGTTTTCTTTTTAACTTGTTAATGGCAATCCTGTACCAGAAAGAATAGATGCATTACTCTTGAGCAAGAGCTCATCATCATGCATTCCACTCCCGGACATCCCAGATGTCCTCGTTTTTCAAGGACCGTAACTTCCCCTCCACAGTGGTCAAAAACGTCCTCGACCGTGTCTCTCGCATTTCCCGCAATTCATCCCTCACACCCCCTCCCCACAATAACAACCAAAACAGAATCCCACTCGTCCTCACGTACCACCCCACCAACCTCCGGATCCAACGCATCATCCTCCAGCACTTCTGCCATCTGCAATCTGACCCCACTACCAAAGACATTTTTCCCTCCCCATCCTTATCTGCTTTCCGGAGGGACGACTCTCTCCATGACTCCCTTGTTCGTTCCATACTCCTCACCAGCCCCACCACCCCCGGCACTTTTCCCTGCAACCGCAGGAAGTGCTGCACCTGCCCCTACACCTCCCCCCTCACCCCCAACCCAGGCCCCAAGAAGACTTTCCACATCAAGTAGATGTTCACCTGCACATCTGCTAATGTGGTACACTGCATCCGCTGTTCCCGTTGTGGCCTCCTCTACATCAGAGAAACCAAGCAGAGGCTTGGGGACCGCTTTGTGGAACACCTACGCTCGGTTCGCAACAAACAGTCCCAGTCGCAAACCATTTCAACTCCCCCTCCCACTCCTTGGACGACATGTCCATCCTGGGTCTCCTGCATTGCCACAACGATGCCACCCAAAGGCTGCAGGAACAGCACCTCATATCTCGCTTGGGAACCCTGCAGCCCAAGGGTATCAATGTGGACTTCACAAGCTTCAAAATCCCAAAACCAGCCCAGCTCGTCCCCGCCTCCCTAACCATTCCTTCCACCTCAAGCCCTACCCCCATCTCCTACCCACTAGCCTCATCCTGCCTCCTTGACCTGTCCATCCTCCCTGGACCGCCCTATCCCCTCCCTAACTCCCCACCTACAGTCACCTTTACTGGCTCCAACCCCGCTTCTTTGACCTGTCTGTCTCCTCTCCACCTATCTTCTCCTTTATCCATCTTCTATCCGCCTCCCCCTCTCTCCCTATTTATTTCAGAATCCCCTTCCCCTCCCCCATTTCTGAAGAAGGGTCTCGACCCGAAACGTCAGCTTTCCTGCTCCTCTGATGCTGCTTGGCCTGCTGTGTTCATCCAGCTCTACACCTTGTAGCTCATCATATTTCCTGTACACATTTTCAGGTTTGATTAAATTTTTCTGCCAAGATTTCCAAATCATAAAATAAGTTGTGTTTATGCTGCTTTATCTTTTATTGCACTTTTCTCAGATACATATAATGAAGTTTACAAGAAATGGGTGTAAATGCTTAATGCAAAACAACTGACCCTCATTTCGGGTGTGACTTCCTGATTACTGCCTCTGTGGGAGTTTGGAGCCCATAGAATGTGCACTGTGGCTTGGAATTCCCTGGAATGTTTCGATACAGCTACAGTGTAGGAGCATCATGGTGCTGTGTTTTACCCAAAGAGATGTCAGCAGAACGTACACACTCAGGTTCTACACAGAAACATTTTGTACGTAAATTCTGTCATCATTTGAAATTCTATGCGACTCATTTAGATAGCTGTACCCAACCCCTCAAGACCAGTTCACATGAGTTTCCTGGATTTACACCATAAAATGGTTCACAGTGGTCTGTCTCCAAGATGTTGCCACACAACACAGCACAAAGTCACCTGATATCGGTGTAACTGAGATTTCTGAAAAGTATGTCTTTTTCTTACTGAGACCCAGTCTCAGTCCACTTGAGACATAGCTCCTGGGCTTCAATAACAATTCAGAAGGAGGAAATATCTGGGGTTTCATTTTCCGAATGGACATTCCCAGTTTTATACTCAATGGGTGACAACTCGATACTCTACATTAGTGGTTATGTTATGAGAGTATTTAAGTTTTGGTGTTAATAAATGAGCTCCCCAGGAAATCTCAGCATTCATTCCCAGCGACAATATCAGCAGATAAACCAGCAAAAAAAAATTGGATGTGATCTCTGTGTTGGTGCAATCCAGGAATTTCAGGGCCTATGTTTGTCTTCTTCATTTGGAAATATGAACAATGTGGTATTTTTCATTAGAAGGATGTTGTCACCCATCCTGTTTCCTTTGACTGGGTCAAAGGGCTTAATTGTTTTATAACAGTAGAGGATCAATCACTGTTGAGTTTTAATAAGAAGAGGGTCTTGTCATATATAATTTATTGCATTTTGTAGTAAGGTTAAAGTTACATTAGGCACTGTTAGTAAGACTCTGCGGAGACTTTTGGATATAAGTCTACACACCACAAGATCCTATGTTGTTCCACCTTCTCCCCACCTAAGCCTATATGACATAATCCGATTGGGTGGTGCTGCACACAGTCTCCAAAATTAACCTATCGAAACCATTTTCTTATACAACTGTCAAGAACGCACATAGTCCATTTTGTACAGATACCTTGATCAACCCTACTAACAAATATTCACAGATCAATAAGAATGCAGAAAAATTACTAAATGATATATTACGGAATATAAAGAAAATTTATATAATACAGAGATAGTAGGAACTGCAGATGCTGGAGAATCCGAGACAACAAGGTGCAGGGCTGGATGAACACAGCAGGCCAAGCAGCATCATAGGAGCAGAGAGGCTGATGTTTCGGGCCTAGACCCTTCATCAGAAAAGGACGTCATCTGTGGGTTCTCCGATAGTGGCCTCATGGCCAATGGCGGCGGGCCCATTGTGGGGAAGGTCCTGGGTACGGCTGGGGATTTGGGGGGTGGAGGAAGCCCGTTTTGGGTGGTAGGCACCAGTAAGTTTACTGTACTTACGGTTTTTAGTGTCCAATAAAGCTGAGTAGAATTGTGAGTTCAGGTTGTGGATCCTATGAAGAATAAAAAACAGGAGAGTTCCTTTGCAGGTCTGGGAGAGGGAGGCTCTGAGCTGGGGTAGGCTTGATTGTAGTGCCTGGAGATGCCGGCGCATTGCTGCAAGTGTGTGTTTCAGGAGTCGCAGGGAGAAACGCTTCTGAAGGATCTCAATACCATGAGTGTAGATATTATCACGGTTGGGGCCAAATTGGGAAGGCTTGAATGTGGATTGTAGTCCATTGGGGATGATCTGGTTCCGTAGGCAGGTGCTAAGGAAGGTGATGTGGCTGTAGTACCTGGTTTGCTTCAGGACGCGGTCGAGCAGTTTCAGGGCCGAAGAGATTACGAGAGAGTTGCAGTGGGAGAGAGATCCCTTGAGGTTTGTCCGGAGGGAGGAGGGTAACTTCTTCAGTTTAGGCATCCTTAGAAGAGGCTTCGCAGTGGGGTTAAAATTGAATCAGAGATAGTAGGAACTGCAGATGCTGGAGAATCCGAGACAACAAGGTGCAGGGCTGGATGAACACAGCAGGCCAAGCAGCATCATAGGAGCAGAGAGGCTGACGTTTTGGGCCTAGACCCTTCATCAGAAAAGCCTTTTCTGATGAAAGGTCTAGGCCCGAAACGTCAGCCTCTCTGCTCCTATGATGCTGCTTGGCCTGCTGTGTTCATCCA